CCCCAAAACCCCAAAACCCCAAAACCCCATGTTGCCCAGAATATATTGAGGATTTCTAATAACTCTAAATCTTAGCAAGAGGGGTAAGATCTACTACACCAGTACAAACAACTAGGCCTCTCTCTTTTGTTGAGGCTGAGAAGAATACACTATTCGCTTCTTTGTAAAGATCAATCTTGATAGTCTCCCCTGGAAATACATGGGATCAAAATCTAGCACTGACACTCTTGATAAGAGTTGGGTCCTCTTGACAATAAGTCTTGTATACGGCCCTTGAAAGTATCCCATATGTACAAAGGCCATGAAGGATTGGCTTATCAAATCCAACTGATTTAGCTGCGCTTGGAATCATATGTAAGGGGTTAAGATCTCCTCAGATTCTGTATAGTGAAGCTAATTTCTCATTGGTAGAAATTTCTAGAGTCTGATCTGGAGTCCTTATTGGAGGAGAAGGCACCCTAAGATCTAGAACACCCTTATCGCCAAATCCTCCATATCCTTTAACATATCAGTTCATGTATCATCTTGAGTATTGCATTTCTGGGTTTTCAGGGTCAAGAATGTCAATTTTGACAATGATTAACATCCCTTTGACCTTATCAGCTACATCTTCTATAGTGGCAACACATTTGATTGTAGAGCCTGGAACAATGGGATTAAATACTTCGACGATCTGCTCTCCATGAAGAAGTTGTTGAGGCTTGAGTGCAGGAAGTCCAGGGGTTTCAAATATTTTCATGTGAATGCACCCCATTGCAAGAAGACAAATTGTTGGAAAAGTTGTGAAATCATCATCATATTCGTATGTAAACTTGAAATCATCTTCATCAAGAGGATCCTGGTTGAAGCCTATGCATAAATGATACAATTTGCAAAGGGCTTCTGTAAATTGAAAGTCATCTTCTGAGATAACATATCCTCTTGCTTTGGTGGGATCAACTTCCATTAATAATTAATATCAATATCTAACGTGTACTATGGGGTTTTGGGGTTTTGGGGTTTTGGGGTTTTGGGG